CATATGTAGTTTCTCAGGTGTTCTTTGTCATGGAAGTGTCTTATTTCCCCATCCATTTTGAAAGAGAGTTTTGCTGGATACATCAGTCTAGGTTGGAGGTTGTTCTCTTTTAGTACTTGAAATATATCATTCCGCTCTCCTTGTAATATATCATTCCAGGCTCTCCTTGCCCCAAGGGTTTGTGTTGAAAAGTCTGCTTTGATTCTGATGGGCTTTCCTTTGTATGCGATTTGTTTCTTTTCTCTTACTGCTTGTAGTATTTTGTTCTTCTCTTGGGTTTCTGGGATCTTGATTATTATATGTCTAGGTGTAGATTATTTTTTATTGTAGCTAGTTGGGGTCCTATATACCTCAGTTATCTGAATGTCAAATTCTTCCCCTCTCTTTGGGAAGTTTTCTGTCATTAATTCTGCAAACAGCTTTTTAAAGTCATTTGCATTTTCTCCTGCTACTTCATGTATTCCTATCAGTCTTATGTTATTCTTCTTTGCATCATCTAGGAGTTGTTGGATCGATTTCTCATGATCCCTTACTGTTTTTTTTGTGTTTGTTTGTTTTGTTTTTTTGGTACTGGGGATTGAACTCGGGTCCTTGCGCTTGCAAGGCAAACCACCAAACCACTGAACTAAATCCCCGGGACGATCCCTTACTGTTTTTTTTTTTTGTTGTTGTTGTTGTTTTGTTTTTTGGTTTTTGGTTTTTTTTCAGCTTTAATTGAGTTTATTGGTACATTTTAGGGATACAGTACAGTTACATTCATTGTTGGGACCTTGTACCTCTACGTGACAGATCTTGATTCTCATTTTTTCCCCTTACCCCTGCCCTCTCTTCACCCCCTCCTCCCCTCCCCATCTACAAACACTTTATTTTCATCTTCTCACATTTTTTTCTTTTCCCTTATTACCCTTCCCCTACCCATCCCACCTTCCCTACACCTTTAGCTCCTTTCTTCCCATTTCTAAATGTCAGTAATCTTATGATCCCTTACTGTTTTTAAGAGATCTCTCTTTTCATGGTCACTGACTGCAATCTTATGTTCTATATCTGAGAGTCTGTCTTCGCACTCTTTTATTCTGTTGTGTACACTTTCTATGGAGTGTTTAATCTCCTAGATATCTGTTTGAATCTGTTTTATGGATTCCATTTCTTTCCTATGTTGGCCATTTATTTTTTCCATCTCTTTCTTATGCTGGGCCTTCATGGCTTCTATCATGGTCCTGAGCTCATCTATTTTTTTGTCAGTTTCTGCTCTAGAGTCTCAAATCGCGACTTCTATTTTGCTCACTATCTCTATGGTTATCTGGGAAATTATTTCTGTTTTGAATTTTTCTAGAGCCTGATTGATCTGTTTTGTTACTTCCTGTGCTTTGAGTTCAGGGTGTCCTGGTGGTTCACTATCGGCCTCTTCATCCTCATTTGCCCTACTGTTTGCCGTTGGTGAACTGGAAGTCTGTCCTTGTGTCTTGCTTAAGTGTTTTCTCATTTTTATTTTTGTTGTTGGACTGTCCTTGGTTTAATTTCTGGATTATCACCCAAATCTTCCTGATATAGTTGTGCCCTAGCTTCTGTGTCTCTAACGACCCACAGACATTCTCATCTTCATAACATCAGATAAAACAGCTCATCAAATCAGCTGCAGTGCTTTATCCCAACTGATACAATCAGCAACACATTAAGATCAAGCACAACTTGGACACTGACCACCTGTGGTAGTCACTACTCTTATCACCCTTAAATCATTTGAATTAAATTGAAATCAAGAAGCAGTCCAGAACATGTCTGCAGTGAACAAAATTTCAATGTAGTGTATTTACCATTTAATGGCTCAGACAGAGCGAGGATGCAAGACCCCTGGTCTCAGTTAGCTGATGGCTGAACCTCATGATGCTGACTGACCTCAGGCTGCAAGGCCCAGATTGAGTTCCCCAACCTTCTGAATGGTTGAACTCCACAACGTTCTATTACAGGTTTCCCATACCTTTCTTTAAAGATGTTCAAAGTTGGGAACTCAGAAATATACCCTTGATGACCACCTCTGCCTCTGCAGAGTGGGTCCAAGAACTGGCACAGTCAGGAGGTCTGAGAGTATGTGGTGGGGGGGGAGACTTATGGGGGTTCAGGGGCGCCCCGGCTACCTTCCTGGAGCTTGAGTTATGGCGGCTCTGGCAGGAGAAGCAACTCAGCCTTTGATACTCTGTAAAGAGAAATTTGTAGAAACAATTTAACAAAATCTGATTTGAATGTGTCACTGTAAAAGTATTTTAACATAAGTAATTACCATTTGGCTTTGTGGAGCTTAATGTTAAACTTAGTCCTTTTGCCTCCTGAAACCATGCCAAGAAAATAGTGTCCCCTAGATTTTGCCAGTGTGTTTCCTCATTGTAATTAAAACAATAAGGCACAGGGCCGGGGCTTTAGCTCAGTGGTTCTGTCACCTGCCTTGCAAGCACAAGGTCCTGAGTTCAATCCCCAGTACCAAAACAAACAAACAAACAAACAAAAAACAGTAAAGCACAGCTTGGTCATCCTACCTCCTTGCCTACAGAAGTTTGTGTTTCATGTAAGAGAAAAAAATGGTTCCCAAAATGTTTCACTGTTTCCTGAGGTTATGGCTCTGTGGTAAGGTGCTTGCCTAGCATGCATTAAGGCCTTAGCTCAATCCCCAGTACACCAATAAGAACAAAAACCAGAAAACCAAAATGTTTCACTGTTTTAAAAATTTATTTTGGGACCTAGGATTTGGCTCAGTGGTTCCGCTGCCTGCCTCCTAAGTGTAGGGGCCAGAGTTCAATCCCCAGTACCAAAAAAAAAGACAGGAGCTTTCCAAGACCTGTCATGTAAAGGTACAAGATCCTAATGATGAAGGTAACTACTATATACCTAAAATGTATCAATAAACTCAATGAGAGAAAAAATTTTTTTTAAAATTTATTTTGTAACTCTGAAGAGCTATATTTGAACACTCAGATGTTTGTGAATAGGCTTCTCATTATTTGTCCAAGAATGTGATTAAACTTCATGCCAGGCATGGGTATGTACAAGTATATGTGAACGCGCATGCGCATGTGTGTGGTGGTAGGTAGGCAAATTTCTCTGGAACTGTGAGGTTCATGTTTATGCCATTGACTCCAAATATCCATTGTGGCTGTAGAAGGATGTCTCAGAAGGGGGTGTTTTGTTTTCTCTATATTTTGTGGTTATATGAGGGGTGCATGTGTGAGTTCTGAAACATACTAACAAGTTAATAGGGAAAATTCTAAGGTAGTCATCTGATTGCAGTGGGCAGTTTTATTTCTGTCAGTTAACCTAAATAAAGATGATTTGAAGAAAAAAGTATTCTGTGAATACAGGATACAGTTAAACACTTTGGGAATTCTTTTTTTTTTTTGAAGACAGGGTCTCACTATGTAGTTGAGACTGACATGGAACTCACTATGTAGCCCAGGCTGGTCTCGAACTCACAGCGATCCTCCTGCCTCAGCCTCCTGAGTGCTGGGATTGCAGGTGTGCGCCACCATGCCCAGCTTTGGGCATTCTTGATGTAATAATCAAGGTACATTTCTCAGAAATACTATATATTACTTCTTATAGTCAGCCCTAACTTGGCTGTAGGGTGTGAGCCAGTAGGCTGTTGTCTTCACTGAGGTAGGTTTCCAGGGACCCAGTTTCCATGCTGGCCAGCTGGACTCATGCTCTCTGAGAGTTACTGGAAGAGCTTGGAGCACCGTTGGCCCTTGAGGTGCTCATTAGTGAATCCAACCAGCCCCAAGACCTAGACTTCAGTCCATTCATCAGCTCATAGTATCCTGTGTAAAGTTTCAAAACTTTGCTCTCTGATTCACCTTGTCTTTATAGTGCTCCCCTTCCTAATTTGAGGCCCTGTAGTGAACTTGCTTGTGGGAAGTCAGTTACAAAGGGAGCCATTCTGTGTGGTTACTCTGAATCACACAGTACAGAGTGTTGGTGTTACCAGCTTCAGGTTCTGTGCTAAGCTTCCTGAGGTTATATCTTTCTGGTTTGGTGAGAAAAGTTGCTTCCAATCCTTCCTTGTCAAGGGACAATATGCCTGTCCCCAGGTCTCTTCCAGCATACTGTGACTGGCATATGGAGTGCCTGCCTGTATCATAGAGCTGCATCCAAGATAGAAAGTCTCCTTACCCTTTGTGCAAGACCCTTGAAAAGTGTCCATCTCATGCCTGCTATCGTAGCACTCTAGAAAGCTGAAGCAGGAAGATCACAAACTCAAGCTCAGCCTGGGTGACTTTGTGAGACCCTACCTCAAAACTTAGAAGGGGGGCTGAGTACGTACCTTAACGCAAAGGTCCCCATTTTTCAAAAGAAGGGGAGAAGGAAAAAGGGAAGAGAGCGACTGACTGACTGACTGACTGGAGGTGTTTATGCACATAAACTAAATATACCTGTTCTCTCTGTTTTAATGCCATCCTTCTTGTAGGCTATTAAGTCTCTTTTTTAAAAAGTATTTTAGGTAAGTACTGCAAAAATAAGATGAGACTTACATGCTCATGCTGTCAATCTTTCACATAACTATGTTAGGCAAATCGTTTTTAGAGATGTTAGTATAGTAAAATTGTGACTTGGGTATTTAAAAACATATAATTCTTCCAATCACATCAAAGTATGTGCAGCAAGCCTCCCCTGCCGACTTTTCTGCAGCACAGCCTTGGTGTTGCATGAGTTGCTATGTTCACGATATGTTCTGCATTGAATAAGTTGTTGGGATTTCTGGCCCTCTAAAGAAGAGAACTGTGGTTTATAACCACAGGATGGCCCAGTGACTTAATTCACCTATTTAGCTGAAGAGAGGTGTACAGTAGAAACTGTCATCCATTACTTGTTTGCTATAATAGGTGATAACATCTTTATTGTTAAAAATCTACATTGCATTTGAGTGTATTGTGCACACCTATAAGCACAGTACTCTAGAGACTGGCTACAGAGTGAGGCCAGCCTGGACCACATAGCAAGACTTTGTCTCAACAACACCCCGCCACCCCGCGAAAAAAAAAAAAAAAAAAACCACTCTTTTTTTAAAACTCTAAAAGATAGGGTCACATAGCAAGACTTTGTCTCAACAACCCCCCGCCCCCCCGGAAAAAAAAAAAAAAAAAGACCACTCTCTTTTTAAGACTCTCACAAAGATAGGTACTGATGTCTCAACTAAGGAATGGTTTCCTCTTCCTAGACATATTTTCTTCATTGTTTAAAAAGGGAAGCAGTGGTTATGTATTCTCCTAATTGTCCTATTACCTTGGATGTGAAAATTTGGCTTGGGTTTTGAAAGTTGGTAGTAATGGTGATATGATTGGGAATCAAGGGAGCTCTCTAGCATTTTTTACTCAGGCATTCTCCATAGTATGTACGAAACTGGCATTACAAAGATGGTGTTAATAACATTAAAGCTCTTGAACATTAAAGGAAATGAGAACACCTGTTATTACTCTTTTGAAAATGCTCAAAGGGAATACTCCATTAACTTGTTTTATGTGTAACAGTGATTCTTTAATTTAAATGTTCTCTTATTCACAGACATGAGTTGCTGGAGGAAGCCCGGAGGCAAGGTTTACCATTTGCTCAGTGGGATGGACCAACGGTGGTTGTATGGCTGGAGGTACATCCCTTTAATGCTACATGACTCAAATTTATCGATGCATCCTCCTGTCTGTACCTGATGTTCTGGCCTCTTCATTCTCATCTCCAGCTCTGGGTTGGGATGCCTGCCTGGTACGTGGCTGCCTGCAGAGCAAATGTGAAAAGTGGGGCCATCATGTCAGCCCTGTCAGACACAGAGATCCAGCGGGAGATTGGCATCAGCAACCCCCTGCACAGGCTGAAGCTGCGGCTGGCCATCCAGGAGATCATGTCTCTAACCAGCCCATCTGCCCCGCCCACATCGAGAACGGTGCGTTCAGAGGCTCTGTGTGTTCTCTGGGGAGAGGAAAAGCAGGCCTCCGTGAAGGCAATGTCCTGCTGACATTGCTCCCTTGGTGCTTCGAAATCACACCCAGGGTGGTTTTGACTTAAAATTTCAGTAGAGCATAATACAATGCCTAACTTACAGGAATTGAGTGGTCCAAGGAAATGCTTGTGTAAAAGCTTGGTTAAAAAGTGAGCCTTTTTTGAAAGGGAGAAAACTGTCACAAATTTATGAATTTGTCAAAACTGAATAAGTCTAAGGACTTTTTGAGGAAGGGAAAATTAACATCTAAAGTAATATTTTAAACTTACTGAATTTCATTTTCTATTTCATGATTCAAACTGAATAGCAATTATACTATAAATAAAAATATTTGCTAAATGAATTATATGCTGTAAATTTAAGTTCTTCTTCAAATGTAGTTAGCAAAATATACAAATAAGCCCAAGTCTGTATGGATCCTCACATGTGTTCTCCAGGGGATAAACAAATACCTGGCTCCTGACACCTCGGCTAGAAATGAAGTTGTGCTGCCTTTACTTTCTTGTGTCTGGCTTCTTCAAGATTATCTGTATGAGTGCATCTGTGTCATTTCACATGTAGATAGGACTTAAGGAAAAACTGTATATATCTGCTGCAGAGTTCAGGCCTTTCCAGGTGCCCCAGAGGTGCCCTGAAATACAGTTGACATGCTAGTAAGGGATGGTCTCTACCCCTAAATCTTAACTGGTTCCTAGAGAGTTCTAATCTCTTTTTAGTGGACATTTTTCCCCTGCAAAAACTAAAGGAGCAAAAAGGATGAGCTCACTGGGTTCACTGTGGCTGGTACACTGGGTACAGCATGACACTGTGGGGTCAGCAGGTGCTCTCCATCGTGGGAGCTGCAGGTGTCTGCCCAGCATTGCTTGTGCTCACAGAGATGCTCTTCACTTGTGAAGTCTGAAGAGTCCTCGAAGAGTTTCTTGGTAACTATTCTGATGAAATATTAATGGTTATTAGGAGATAAGGGCAGGCCAGCTCCTAATTCGCTAAGTTCAGGGATTTTTCATTCTGTTCATTCCTCTGCTTCAGAGAGAAAAACTCGTAGAGCCTGTAGACATACTGCTGAATAGCAGGCCATGGTCTGGCTTCCAGCTCACAGTAACTTTATGAAAGAAAAGTGTCGAGATTTTGATGTTTGTTAGAGAATCGTGAAAATGAACAATAAGCCTTTGTTCTTACCTGTGGCTCAGAGAGCTCTTTTCCTGGTGGAATGCTTTGTAACCAGGATCCATCTGTTCCCCAGCTGTTTCCACATTAGTGTGGCCTTTCTAGAAATGAAGATACTGTGTGGCTTTTCCAAAGCTTTTAAGAACCCTCTTCCAAAAGGGAGCTTTGTGATTAGTGAGGACTAGATCTAACTTTGGCCAGATTCTCCCACACTGTCAGATACAAACACAGAAATTGCTCCCCTAGGTAGCTTACAGTAGGCCAGCAAGGCAGCCATCAGTCTCAGTCTGGCTCTGCTGGTGACACAGTGCCATTGTTTTATGGTGTCTGCATTGTTTTGCTCTTAAGTGGCTCACTATCCTGGGCCCTGGCCTCTTGGGCTCCCTTTGTGGCTTTGGATCATCTGCTGAAAACAGCCCCAGGAGGCCCAGGCAAGAGCTTTCTGTTGTTAGCCTGTGTTTGGGTGAGGCTACTTTTTATTTTATTTTGTGTTTTTTGTTTTGTTTTATGGTACTAGGACTCAAACCTGGGTCTTTGGGAGAGCCAGGCAGACACCCTATCATGAGCTACACTTTGAGTATGTTGAGACCATTGTAAATACTGTATATTGAAACATTAGTTACTGGAGAAAGAAAGTTTTCAGAAGTATAAAATGTGTTCTCTCCTGCATACTGGTAAGCATGATATCCATCCTGATGGCACTGTTATGAGGCATGATTATTCTTTAAGGGGGATGAGCTTGTGTTAATGATCTCTGGTTTTCTCTATGGGCATCTGAAATGAAAGTGCAAAGTGTGACCTTTGCCTCATGGCTCCTTTTCTGTGCCAGTGGCTTATATATGTGCCCCTCTCCTCTCTGTCATGCTTCTCTTTCCCTGGATGTGGCTGGTGCACTGGGGTCACCTTAGACCACAGGAAATGTCTGGTTAACACATGAAGAGATGGAAACACTCGCAGCCACGCCGCAAACGGTTAGTCAGCCCCAAAGCTCGAGCTCAAAGTGTATTTGCCACTCCAGACTGACTGGGTCCTTTGTCTTTTTGTTGAAAACAAAAATGTTATTTTGCATTCATTTGTTTCAGATATGTATTATTTTTAGGTTATTAGTGTATAAAAATTGCATTTTTAAGATATTTTAAGGGAACTTAAAAGTTTGTAGACTTGCATCATTTCGAGAAGTTGTAATTTGCCCCTCCTTTTGGAGAGATCTCAGTTAAGCACTTAGTTGTGATTACCTAACCAGCTTTCTCCTTTACGTGTGTGCTTGACATGGAAAGAGCCTGCTCCTTGCATGGAAATTTGAAATTGTTGGTTTTGCATGAGTTTTGCATGATACTTTCATATTTTGAACACTTCACTCAGTCAAGATTCACTTTCCCTGCAGAGTTAATTTGCTTGTACAACTGAAGCTCACTGATACTAACAGTTATGTTCTTTTGCATTCCTAACCACGTAACATCAGGAAGATGAGGAGGGAAGCTGGGCTCAGGTTGGAGTTTTTCTATAATATTTCTTCACTTTGTGTAGCAACAAAAAGCAGTTTAGTATGTAAACTAGTATAATTTGCTTTAGTGAGTGTTTTTAGCACCTTAATTTACTTGTAGCATTGTTGATGACTTGAAACATTAGTCAAGCAAAGCACAGGCTTAAACAGTACGTCTCATGGACAATTTTGAACATTTCTCATATAGAGTCATGATAGTTACTTTTAATTAACATAGATTGCTTTATTTATTAATAGAATCCCTTTACACAAACTCCCCTGGCTTAGGCAACTCCTGAGAGATTATGTACATATGACTCCTTGCTTGGGTAGCTTTAGTTGCAAGATCTACTGGTGGAAAAAATCATGAAATACACTTGTCTGAAAGTTGGGTTAGGGCCTTTCCCACTATGTCTTTGTATTGGTGTTTTGTTAAGTAATGTTCTACTATTGTGTCAGTTTAAAGATCCTACTGATAGTGTTCTCAGAAATTAAGCCTCTTATCACTTCATAGACATTGAAATTTTTAACTCCCTAATTTTTCACCTCACAGAAAGCCCTGTCCCAGTTGTTTTACAGCCTCTGCATTCAAATGACTTTATTAAATTCCCAGTTTACCACTTATCCTGTGGGCCTTCAGTGGGCACAGTGCACTTTTAGGGAGCTTGCAGTTCTTGAGCTTTTCACAATGGCACAGTATTCAGGGGATCAGAAGAGTTAGCACATATCTGAAAGCAAGTATAAATAACTTTAAATTTGCATTTTCCCAATTACAAAATGATGGTTGAAATAGTTGTTTCTGTTTGCACTTCTAAAGAGTACTCAGTTATATCACCCGTATTGGTTGTTTTGTTTTTTGTTTAAAAAAGAAGAAAGGCCAGGCAAAAAGAAAAGAGGCAGGCTGGGCGTTGGTGGCATACACCTGTAATCCCAGCACTTAGGAGGCTGAGGCAGAAGGATCACTGTGAGTTACAGGCCAGTGTTGACTATGTAGTGAGACTGTCTCAAAAATACAAAAAACATTTAAAAATAAAAAGAAAGAGAGTAGCTACTAACTGAGTTTTCTCTCCTTGGGTTTAGGCACTCTTTGCCTCCAGATAAATCACCTAAATTAACCTAGTTAGAGGTCTTTTTTTTACAGGACCAGTAATGACCATCAGTGAATTAAACAGTATGTCTCATAATTACTTAAGTTTCAATATAGTTAACATGACAGAGTAGAACATGGGCAGCACTTCAGTATGAAGTTGCCAGCATCAGAGACACGAAGTGTAATTAAATAAGCTTAGCATTTGCTTTATGAAATGGAAGTATAAAAAGGGGTCATGCAGGATTCCTGATTTACCCCACATGCAGTGTCTAGAAGAAGCTTGGTGCGCTTTCCTGCCATCCTCTCCCAGATGGAGCTGCTAGGACAGAGCTATACACTATACTTGCCCTGTGCTGGCGCTGAGTGGCTTAGCTCTTACCTAAGGGGAAATTTAAGCTTGGGAAGAAACACAGGTGTGATCAGAACTGTTCGCTTAAAAGAGATAAGATAGTACTGGCAGTTTATGAAGACTGTGCCACCTACCACCTGTAAGTAGGACAGCTGCAGTCCCATCTTCACAGAGCTCACACTTTACTGAGCATAAAGCTGGGGTTGACTTGCACAGTGTGCTTGGAATACTGGGTCCCTTTGTACCTTTCCTTCAGATGGTGGTAGTGGCAGCCCAGGAGAGGAAGAAGTCTCCCTGAAACTTGAGTCTGAGCTGCTGGAATCCACATTAGCAGCAACTTCAGAAGTGTACACCGAGGATATATTGAGTAAATGGAAAAAAGGGGGGTTTGCTTCTGTGCAGTTTTTTATTTGGAAAATTTCCTTATTTTGCCCATTGAAAGATACATAGTCAGCAGAACAAAAAATATCAAATATTAAGGCTACAGATACCAGGCCCATGAGAATAAGGATTGAAGGACTGAATCATGGTAATACTGTTAGGCATCTTAATGGTTACCAAAGTGTTTGGTATATTATCATTGTTTAAAGAGAGTTATGAAACCTTTTCTGTTAGAATTTGAACATTCTTCTTAGCTGAGTCATTCCTTCCATCTTGTTTGGAACAAAAAACAAATTATATTAGAGGCTATTGTTTTAAGACAAACTTGGAGACTGGACATGGTGGCTCACACCTGTAATCCCAGCACTCAGGAGGCCGAGGCAGGAGGATCAGGATCACTTGTGAGCTCAAGGCCAACCTGAACTACATAATGAGACCCTATCTCCAAAAGAAAAAGGAAAAAGAAAAAAGACAAACATAGATCTAGATGTGGTGGACAGCCTGTAATCCCAGCTACTTAGGAGCTGAGGCAGGAGGAGGTCACATGAGAGGCCAACTTGGGCAACCTAGTGAGACCCTGTTGTAAAATAATAAAGTAAAATAGAGGACTGTGATGTAGTTCAGGTGAGAGTGTTTGCCTAATGTGTGAGACCCTGGGTTCAATCCAGGGGAGGAGGGTTGGTGACTGTTAGTTTTTATTTCCAAGGATTCCTGTGAACAGAATTTAATCTTCCTTAGCTGGAGAACGTGGTGAACCTTCCTCTGTTACGCACTGGTATATAATGTATGTTTTTCTCTGTACAAACCTTGAATATACTCAGATTTATCCGTAAGGTTTTATGGGGTCTAGTGCCATTCTAAATGATATTTTTAAAACCTTAATTTTCATGTATTAATGTTATAACCTGGCAACTTTGCTAAATTCATGTATAAATCCTGATAGCTATTTTGTAGACTCCTTTTCAACATTGATAACATTGTATCATTTACAAATAAAGAGAGCTTTATTTCTTTCCCAACTCATATCCTCTTTATATCTTTTTCCTGCCATTTCAGTGGCCAGTACTCCAGCACAGTGCCGAACATAAGCAGTGAAAGTGGACACCCCCTTCTTTCTGTTCAGGGAGGCATTCAGCCCCTCACCGCTGAGGAAGATATTAGCTCCAGGCTTTGTGTAGATGGCCCTTAACAGGTTGAGGCAGTTGTCTTTCATTCCTAGACTGCTGGGAGTTTCATAAATGAATAATGGGTCTTGTCACACGTGATTGAGATACTATGGTTTTCTTTGTCAATTTCTAAATAGGTTAAATTTTGGTTTTTTCCCCTCTCAGTTGTTTAACCAACCTATTCCTGAGACAATCCTCTTGACATGATACCTCATTTTTTTTATGGAGTCCAGACTAGTCCCAAACTTAACAGTACTCCTGCTTCAGCCTCCTGAGTGCTGGGATTATAGGCATGCATCACCATACCAGACAAAAAAAATACATCCTGAAGCCAGATGTGATGGTGCACCCCTGTAGTCCCAAATACTCAGGAGGCCAAGGCACAAAGGTCACCAGAGCCCAGGAGTTGGATGCTATAATGTGCTGTGCCTGTTGGGTGTCCACACTAAGACTGTCACTGTGGTGACCTCCTTGCATGGGGGAACCTATGGATAAACACTGCATGTAAGCCTGGGCAATGTAGTGGGACCTCTGTCTTAAAAAATTGAGTGGAATATTCTGTAAGATATATCTAGATTAGGTTGACTGATGCTGTTATTTCAGTCTATATCCTTTATGAGTTTTTTCCTTTTTTTAAAAAATTGGCTTGTTCTGTTAAGATAGAAGTATTGAAGTCTTCTAAGTTTAATTGTGTGTGTACTCAGTTTTATTAGTTGTTGGTTTACCTTTTTAAATTTGCTTTTACTGATTTTCAAATACACATGTCATTTAGGAAAACAAAGTATTCAAAACCATCCAGACCTTATTTTAATGATGTGAATTGATTCTTCAAACTTGTTCATGAGTCGTGATCATTCTTTGTTCTTATATTATTGAATTAAAAACTATTTAAGAAAGGGAATTTATAGTCAGTTATGATTTTACTATAATTTGGTAAATAAATTTACCACAAGTGAGTCATAAAATTTTAATGATAATTCCTTTCGTGTAAGAGTAACAAATTTAATAGGTAGAATGGGAGATCAGATTATTTGGAAATTATAAAGAGCAATGTCATTAATTTAGCCCTTGAGAATGTGTTCTAGATTAAACTAGGGTGAACTAATGTCACCCATTTATTGAAAGCAGACACTTGCATATGGGGACATGAACCATGAGTGGATCGGCAATGAGTGGCTTCCCAGCCTGGGCCTCCCTCAGTACCGCAGCTACTTCATGGAGTGCCTTGTGGATGCCCGGATGCTGGACCACCTGACCAAGAAAGACCTTCGGGGGCAGCTGAAAATGGTTGACAGTTTTCACAGGTGAGTTAGTGTAATGGTTTGTATTAATTGACCAAGAGTGTTTTCACAGTTGCCATCTCTAAATAATCTCTTACTTTTGTAAATAGAAACAGTTTCCAATGTGGAATTATGTGCCTGAGAAGGTTAAATTATGATCGAAAAGAACTGGAAAGGAAAAGAGAAGAAAGTCAGAATGACATAAAAGGCAAGTACATTACGCTTGATGGATGTAGCACATGCCTGCTGCCTGCCAAGCAGCCTCAATGATTGCCTACTTTTAAAATGTAGGATCCAGCTGAGGTGGCACACACCTGTAGTCCTAGCACTCTGGAAGAATATAGCAGGAGAATCACAAGTCTGAGCCCAGCCTAAGCAACTTAAATTTGGCAAAACCCTCTTCTCAAAATAAAAAATACAGAAGGGCAGGGACACAGCTCAGTGTAAAAACCCTAAGTTTATTCCGTAGTACATTAAAAAAAATCAAGGGCTGAGGGTGTGACTTAGTGGTAAGGCACTTGCTTATTAGCATTTGCATTGCCCTGGGTTTGATCCCTAGTACTACAAAAAGAAAAGCAAAATAACCACATCTTTAGGCAGGCGTGGTACTCAGCTGCATTCCCAGTTACTAGGGGTGCTAAGGCTGAAGGATCACAGTTCAGGGCTAGATGGGTGACTTTGTGAGAGCCTGTCTCGAAAAACTAAAAATAGATTTTAAAAATGGGGGTGCTAAGGTTGTAGCTCAGTGATGGAGCACTTGCCTAGCATGCATGAAGCCCTGTGTTCCATCTCCAGTACCACAAAAAGAAAAAAATTAGGGAAGGCTTTAAATGGAACAAACTGACTTGGCATAGTAACAAGAGGTAGGGATGAAAAGGAGTATCCTGAGGGAGCAGGTGCTTACGTCAGTCTGTAGGCTACCCATCTTGGCCTGGCATTGTTCCATGGAGTTTTCCTTTTGTTATTGTACACTGTATGTGCTCTGTCTCATAGATGCTGTCCTGCACTATTAGATCAGCACAGAGCAAGATTAACAAGCCCCTGCCTCTTGCTTACCAGAGGGAGGTCAAAACTGCAACTCTGGAACCTTCTCTTAAGGGCTATGGCAGCACACAGAGCACCTTGCAGTTCTGCTCCCAGAAGGAAAAAGAGGCCAGGCAACTTTCAGCCTAGCACCCTCATTTTTAAAATTTAAAAATTTTAAATTTGTATTGAGACAGGGCCTTCCTGAGTTTTCTGGCCTGGCCTTGAACTTGTGGTCCTTCTGCTTCAGCATCCCTAGTAACTGGGATTGCAGTCCTTGGAAAAGGAGCAGGGTGTCCTGGGGGCAAGGAAAAGACATATCAGTAAGAAAGAGGCCAGGAAGTATAAGAGGGAGAGGCAGCACCCCTCAGAATGCCAGAGGCAGGCATTCCCTCAGAATACCATACTGAATGTCATGCTCAAGGGAGCCTCCTAGAATTCTCAGAAGTTACTAATAGCACTACAGTGATGAGAAGAAGCAAGACTTATTGAATAGTGAGTGGTATCAGGCACTGCATCAAGCCTTTCACAATTGATTTATTCACACTGCATCATGCTTCTGTGCATGTTATTTTCATCCCATTCTGATGTCCTTTTCTAAATAAAGGATGATTGGCTGGGGTGCAGCTCTGTGGTGGAGGAGTTGCCTAGCATACAAAAGGCCTGGGGTTCAATACATAGCACTGCAAGAAATAAAGACGGGCTGGGGGATTTAGCTCAGTGTTTCGGTGGCCTGCCTTGCAAGCACAAGGACCCGAGTTCAATCCCTGGTACAAAAAAAAAAAAAAAGAGAAAGAAACAGACAGGTTGAGATTTACTTAGAAAAGGAAATCAGAAATGAAATCAATCCATTTCATTTGATTTCTGTATCCCTTCTACATTTTTTTTTCAGTTGACAAAAGCTGTCTTTGAAAGGATTGATGATCAAATATATTTTTACAGAGTGAGTGTTTTTAGGTCTCTAAAAATTTAATAGTTTTATTTGCATGAGATGAGACCTCCAAAGTTTCTAATATGCTGGAGAATGTCTTAAGTTCTGTTTTTTGTGGGGTTTTGTGGTACTTGGGATCGAACATGGGACCTTTCTTTCACTTGTGGGGCAGGCAGTGAAACCACTGAGCTAAATCCCCGGCCCAAAGTTCTGTCTTTTTAAATTGAGAGAAATGATAGATTGGAAGCAAAGGGTTTGTGTTAACCTGAACAAGGTGTCTGAACTGTCGTGGTGCCTGCTCATTTCGTAATGGATAAGCATTTCAAGAGACTGGGTTCTGCATAGGAAACACATTCATACAGGCTAGGTGTTTGGTTTCTTACATCCTTCTGTATTCTGACTCCAGGCCCTAACCTGTTCTTTGTTTTTATATTAATAAATTTTATTTTATTTTGTCCCATTACCCCTCAAACCCCCCTCCCCTCTCTGTGTACAAAAGCTTTGTTTTCATTTTTTTTCCATTTTCACTTTTTTTCTTGTCGCTTCCTTTCTTCCTTTCTCTCTCCCCTTCCTTTGTTCCCCTTCCCATTTGAACACTTTCTTCCCATTTTCCAACTTCTGTTATACATCTCAGTCCTTATTTCCACATGTTCTTTATTTTTTTTGTGTGTGGGACGGAATTGAGCCCCAGGCCTTGTGCGTGCTAGTCAAGTGCTCTGCTACTGAGCTACATCCCCAGACAATCATCCTGTTTTGTTCCCTGGACATATGACATACATAATCTTATTGGGACCCCTGTGTTCACTAGAAGAGTCCTAAGGGGAAAGTTTTTTTTAAATGGGCCAGATTCAAGACACCTGTGTCTAGGTGCTGTGTCTGCCAGGATTTGTGGGAATGGAGTCTGTTTTCAGGAACTGAAGGGTCAGGATCCATGCTAGGAATCTTTCCACTGCGTTATAGGATATGTGTGATGAAGAGGCTTTCTGAAGCCACATTTACAGTTGCTTTGTTCTTTCACAGATGTGCTTGTCTGGAGCAATGACCGAGTGATTCGCTGGATCTTATCCATTGGCCTTAAAGAATATGCAAACAATCTCATAGAGAGTGGTGTTCACGGTGCACTTCTAGCCTTAGATGAAACCTTCGATTTCAACTCACTGGCACTGCTGTTACAGATCCCAACACAAAATACACAGGTGATTCTAGAGCCTGTCCTGTGCCCACTAAGTCAGTGTTCAGTTAGTTCTGTGGTTATAGACACTTAGTTGTTCGTTTGAATGGAGAAAATAACCCAGACAAGTAATAATATTTTCCCATAACTAATCTGTAATATAACAGTTCAAAATCACAAATGCTTGATTTGTCACTGTCTTTCTATTTTATGTTGCAAGCATGTGAGTCTTTGTTTTAAAAAATTGTAATGTGTAACATCCTTCAGATATATTTAGTTGTTTTGTTTCTTCAGGCTCGAGCTGTCTTGGAAAGAGAGTTTAACAACCTTTTGGTCATGGCGACTGACAGAAGGTTTGATGAAGTAAGTTTTCAGCTCTCTCTTCCTCCTCAGTGCTAGCTGGGGCCTCACACATGCCAGGCAAATGTGCATACCTGCATAAAGCAGGTCTCAGCCTATGATCAGAGTGTAAATGTGTTTTGGGAACAACAGTGTCCTGCCCCAATCGCGGTGTTAGGAAGGTTTGTTTCAGAAGTATATTCAATTTCCCTTTGTGCTAAATCATGACTCTCATATTCCCACACATTAGGATTCTCTTTGTTGGGCCTCAACAAAACTTGATTTTGACAAAGAAGATAGAAGCCACCTCTAAAAACAAGGTGCTTGTTGGTATATCCAACATAAGCCAGGATTATTTATAGCTTGATTTTTTATTTTTTTGTTGTTGTTGTTCTGGGAATCAAATTCGGGACCTAGCACATTCAAGGCAAGCAGTAGAACCATTGAGCTAAATCCCCAGCCCTATAGCTTGACTCTTTTGAAGATAGATAAAAATGCATTCTGTAGTAGGAAAGTGCTTTGTGCACAGTAAGAAATGAAACATCATGATGAGTGAGAGGCTTACGTTCCTGGTGGCCCGGAGCTGTCCTCATTTCTCTCGTTAGGGCCCAGAAGGAATGTGACCACACTTCCTGTCACACTGATGATCCAATTTGAGCAGTATATTGGAAGGTCACCGGGAAGGGGTTAATTAAAGCAGAACAGTTACGAATTCAACAGTATTTATGAAGGATGGTTAACTTTCTGAGGGTATCTGTCTTTAACTTTTTCTTTTCTTTAATTTGCAGGATGATGACAAAAGCTTTAGGAGAGCACCTTCGTGGAGAAAGAAGTTTAGACCAAAGGACATTCGTGGCCTGGCAGCTGGGTCAGCAGAGACACTCCCTGCAAACTTCCGAGTCACTTCTTCCATGTCTTCCCCCTCTATGCAGCCAAAGAAGATGCAGATGGATGGTATGTGGTGGGCCATGTAACCCACCACTTGCTGGGAGCATGTGCGCGCTAATAATGACCTAGAGTGGCCATTTAACGTGTTACGAGGCATCTGAGTTCGATTGCATGCCCAGATGTAAATGCTTTAGAATTAACCCTAACATTTGTTTGTAAATGGTTAACAACAGTAATAGAATTTTTAAAAAACTTGTCTGGTTGAACCTTAGCATACTTGCCCAACTAATAAAGCTGAGCAGCCATCTGTGTTTTCAGGGCTGAGGTTGATGCCCCTGTGGTGTCTAGTATGTGGCAGTTGGCACTCACTTGCCGATAAAATTGCAGTGTGACACCTTCAAACCACATAATTACTCGTGGGACTCCTCCCCACACTGGAAAAAATGGCTGAGTGAACTTTAGCATACAACTTCCAGCTTCTGCCAACTCTGTCTTTCCTTCTTCCTTCCCTCTACTATTATCTTTCCATATACTTACATGTGTGTCCACTAAAGGACAGGGAAGAAGGCAAGAGCCTTGTGGAAACTGCTAGGTCAGCCTTGCTGCCTTACCAGTGACAGATGGCAAGGCAGTGAGTGGCCTTTCCAGTGAGGATTGGGATGTCCTTTAGATAACCACTAACTGGAGAACACGGTTGAGAGTCGACCATGGGTTCCTGACAGATTTTAACTGTGGTCTCCTGTCTGTCTAATAAAAGCCACAAAGTGAAGAGCTAGACTAGATCCACATCCGGCTCTGGTGCTAGCGAGCAGTTGCATGACCTTGAGCAAGTCATTTAGCTGCACTTCCCCTCAGTTTCCACGTCTGTAACATAGGTGTTTCATTTGGTTTTGATGATTAAATGAGTCATCTGGGTGAAGCTGAGAGTCCTAAGCCCTGTGCCATTGCTGACAGTCTCACTGTTATGTGGGGACTTAGTCTCCTTTCTGATGCACATGATTGTGCTGTATAAACTGTACTGTGGGATTGTTAACAAATTTTCTGTCCTTAGTTCCTCTTATAAGGTTTTTTCTCTCACTTGCCTATATGAGTATCAGAGAAAAGTACATTTTTGTAAAGTTTTTTTAAACTGAACACTTTTGCTAATGATAGCTTTCAGAGAAACATTGTTTTTATAAAAAGCTGTATTTTTCAGAGTTCAAAAATATAATCAATCAGAAGGAAAAATCCCCAGGATACCTTTTTTAATTAACAACTTCTTATGAATTAGCATCCCCCCCCAAGGAGCATGCAGTTAAATCTTAAAATGTTGGTAAGGCATAGGTGTGCATGCCTGTAATTTCAGTACTCAAGTGGCTGACACAGGAAGATCATGAGTTTAAGACTATTGGGGGCCACAAAGCCAGTTCAAGGCCAGGCTAAACTACATAGCAAGACCTTGTGTCATTCATAAATAATTTGCCTTCAGCTTAATTTCCATTGGTTTACTGAGTAGTCTAAATGAGTGGTCTCTTATTTCCCTGTACCTTCAGTTTCTGTTTCCCCATTAAGAATTACATTTTCTCTTTTCTCCCAGTACCGGGGATCAATCTCAGGACCTGCGCTTGCCAGGCAGGCATGGCACCAATGAGCTAAATCCCCTGCCCTTACATTTTCTCTTTAAACATTAAGAGTGATATTAACGTAGCTGGACGTGGCACACACCTGTAATCACAGCACTGGGGAGGCTGAGGCAGAAGGATTGTTGAGAGCTCAAGGCCATCATGAACTACATAGGGAGACCCTGTTTCAAAAGAACAAAATGAAACAAAAATAAAGAGTAGTATTAATGAGTTTGTTTGTTTGTGGCTTTTTTGGTGGTGGTGGTGGTGGTGGTGGTGGTGGTGGTGGTGGTGGTGGTGGTGGTTGATTTTTGTTATTTTGGGTTTGTTTGTTTTTCGGGGTTTTTTGTTGTTGTTTTGGTGGAACTAGGGATGGAACCCAGGGCCTTCACGCTACAGTACATCCTTATCCCTTTATTTATTTTTGAGACTGGGTCTTTCTTGCTAAGTTGTCCGGGCTGGACTTGAACTTGGAGTTTTCCTGCTTCAGCCTCCCAGATTGCTAGGATTACAGACAGGCAGGCACCATCATACTCTGCTTAACAATAAGTTCAGATCTTAAAAATAAACTAGGAAAAGGTGTAGGGGATATATTATGTAGATGACTGTGCCCACATTGGTAAGGTTGAATGTTTTAATGACTTTAAAATCAGTGTAAGGTAAATTCCAGCAGGTCTCCTAGATTTTAGAATCAAGATTTTTTTTCCCCATTAAGTTTATTAGTACATTTAAAGCAAACAGTGCAGTTACATTTATCATTGAGATCTCGTACCTTTACATGACAGGTCTTGGTTCTTGTTTAGAATCAAGGTTTACAATGATTGCCCAATCTCATCAACATGGTCAGCTGTCTGTCTTTTCTAGAACCGTGGCAGGATATTGCTAAGAGGTATACCTGTGGGCAAACACTACAACTGGAAGTTCAGATACCTGCTAAAGATGTTGAGAGTTTGTACAAGTCTGGGCTTACCTGTTTGGCTACTCAGTGTTTCTCAAATAGGAGCCTCTATCTTAAAGTGTTCTCCATTCTTTTTGTCGAAGCTAAGACAAGCTTCAGTTTTCTGAAAGAAGTTGTGCTGGCCGCAGCCTCTGCGGCTGTGCCTCTTCACCTGAGACCCACTCCTGAGAGCAGTGAGTGTAGGGCAGCTGGCTTTCTCTCCTCCCCTTCATTGGGCTGTTGATTTACCCCATTTCATTGTTGGAGATACAGCTCTAGGGCAGAAGGAAAAGTCCAGTTAGTGTATAAATGCATGACTTCAAGAGATAGATACAAAGTGACCACACTAAAATAGTTTTATGTGCACTTTGAAATTATTTTCATAAGGCAGGGTGCTCTATTGCTATTTTAGGGTTAAGTGCCAGTGTCCCCAGGCTCCTGGGGTGGTGGAAGAACCACCTCTGGATGGCGCTCTGATACTCTTGCCGTGGCTCTTCCCCCACCCTACCAGGCACCCCCTAGGACCCCTCAGTAGGTACCATTGTAGGCATGGAGATGTGTGTCTTACCTGTGCCCTGTGTGATGTGTTTAAACTAACTGCACGCTGTGTTTGCACGCTTCCTCTCGTGGTTGTTGGAACAGGCAATGTATCAGGAACACAGAGGTTGGATTCTGCTACAGTCAGGACTTACTCCTGCTAAAGCCTCCTGTTGGTGAGTAGAGAGCAGCATAATCCCTGGAGATCATCCCTGGTACAGCTGTCAGTAGTGTGAAGCTGTAACAGTGAGCTAGGAGTATGGGCTTTAGACCATGATAATCTAAAAATTGGGAGCTTAAAAAAATACGAACATACTAGCTGTGCACCCATTAAGGTGATTTCGGTGCTACAGTTGACTATAAAGAGGTCAATGTGTCTTCATTTTTGTTTTGTTAACTTTTATTTTTATTAGTACGTGTTTGTTGTTATTTTTATGAGTACATGTTTGTTGTACTTAAATTCAACATGAAGAGTTGCTACTGTACATAACACTTCTTAATTCTTTTTACCTACCCTTCCCTTGCATCCTCATTTTTTAAGGAAAAAAAATGTATTTCCACTTTTTCCTTAAAACTGAAAATGTCCACTCACTTTAAGTGATGATCTGCTGATACCATTGATTGTGGGATGGCAGAAGAGCAGCAGCTGAGGGAAGGGAGCCCACTCAACCCACAGCTGGTTGAGGCCAGGAGGCCAGAGCCTGGGGGTGTGGGGAGCATCCTTCCTCTGTGCCATGTTTGTACGTGGTGGTACACAACTCCTAAATTTGTTTTGTTATAAATACACCCCCACCCCCTTTTCTGATTCAGAGTTTGCTAAACTGTCTACTCTGGGCTCAAACTTGCAATCCTCCTGCCTCAGCCTCCTGGCATGCCGCAGTTGCAGATGTGCCACCATGCAGGACAGAAAGATGGCATTTTAAACACAGCTGCATTGCCGTGCTTGGGCTCTAGTGAACCACCTGTGTCCTGGTGGTCTGGGGTTTCAACTAATAGCAGAGGAGGTGCCACTCGTCCCTGTTCAGAACCCCAGGAGGGGCTCTGCCTACTCTACTCAGGTTTAATGCCTCAGCTGGAATCTGGACAGTCAAGGAGCACTCTGGTTGGTGAGTGCAGTCCTTGGTGTTCCATCTGGTGATGCTCCAGGAGCCAGGACACAGGACATAGGTTGCAAGAAGCCTGGGGGGATGAGGGGACGTAGTATGGGTGTCTGAATTCAAGGTCCTTATCCCGGTGACTTGTATTGAGAGGTTTTTTTGTTTGTTTTTATCTTCCAGTTTACCCACACTACTTCTACAGATGATTATGCAGCATTTTGAATCCAACAGAAACTACATTTTCGAATTCAGTGGAATCTCTAATCTGTTAATACTTGTTATATGGACCCTAAGATATTTTATTACAGAGTTTTTAATTAGTGAAAAGTTCATGAATACCATAGAGAAAATATTTTAGAATTTAATGTTTCTTATATTTATGTAAACTTATGACGCTTCATTTATATACTTACTTTTTCATGTATATCCAGGCTATAAATATCCTCTTGAGTCAATTCATGTCCTTGTACCTAATTTTAGTCTTTCAGATGAATGTACTTAATGCTTGTATGTATAAATCCTATGAACAAATATAGGGCTTTTGTAAATTATGCACTTACTGTAATTATCACTGTTTAATTTTTTAATGATAAGCCATGACAGAGAAAAGGATTTTACTACATTTATAAAATTGTCATGATGCAAGCAATGTGCATTATCCTTTACCTAGCTCTACATCAGTCATTTTAAAATAAGCAGACTTAATTCCAAGGAGCTGTTGTCATATTTTAAGGTTGACTGACCTTAACTGTACTTTTTCTATCAAGAAGTCAGCATCTAATAAAGTTGGACTGAACAGTTATATCAGAACACTATAAACTCCCTTGGCACTGGTTCCCTTTTCCTCACCTTGTCCCTGAACTGGGGAATCTTCTCTTCAGAGACTGACCAGAAGCTGGGAGCTGCTCTCAGCAGAGCTGTAGTGGCCAGGGGGCGGGCCCCAGCCTGGCGCCTTCTCTCTGACTCCCTCCTGCAAGCAGGTGGAAGGTGCCCTCCAATTACTCTTCAAGGACCAATCACTGAGCACTGTGCTCGCATCTCAGACATTGGTGCATGAGCAGATGAAGGCAGGAAATGCTAAAAATAAAGTTGTGCAACTCTAATAAAGGCCTTATTTTTCATATGTAAGTCATCTTTTTACATTTGTTTGTAAACATGTTTAAAGAATGAACCTAGTCATACATTTTTAGATTTTGATGATAAAGCCACTTTTGGATTGTACAGGTAGCAAGTGTAACTTTTACTTTTTAAATGGAATATTAAAAAGCCAGCAAGAAAGGAGTCAGATCATGGTGCGATATTTATTATGCAACTCATACATAGAAGCAGCATGTCTTTTTACATTTGGTTTCTGCTTTTAGTTCACTTGTACAATTCATTGTTACTGTTCTGTTTTTCTCTTAATCTTTTGTGAACTTCCTCATTATGTAACAAAGTGTACAGTCTACTTTTGAACTATTTTTATCACAGTATTATTTATTGCTTTCTTTCAATAAAATTCTGAAGCATTTTCCACTGCCAATAAAGAATTCTGTGAATAAGCCATGATTACATTAAAAATTGGCCATAGCTGTTTACCTCCTGCTCTAGGCTGGTTCCCTGAAGGCAGTGTCACTGTCTAGAAGGTTCGTTATGGAAATCAACGGATAGCTGGAAGGATAAGTGTAGGCTTGGGCCATCAGCCGAGTGACGATGGTGTCTTGCTGGAGCTTGAGCCCAGTTAGACCAGGTTGGGAATTGGCCCTGTCCAGTAGTGATTGGGACCCTGACAAGCTTGGCTCTTTCCACTGTTTCCGAGCCCTTTTCCAGGCAGTATCTTGGCTAAGGTGATAAAGTGGCTGTTTGCAAGTCTCTCCTCTTGTGTTTCATACCATGCATTTCAAAGTAATTGCGGGGGTGGGGTGGGGTGGGGGGGATTTAGCTCAGTAGTTCGGGTGCCTGCCTCACAAGCGGCAAGGGCCTGAGTTCACTCCCCAGTACAAAAAGAAAAAAACAAAGTAATTGTGGGTTTGAGGTTTTTATTCACTGCTTTTTTTTTCCTCTGCAAAGTCTGCCTGTTCCAGAATGGGGTTAGCAGGACATGGACAAGAGTCCATTTTGCCCTGCATGCCCTGGGGGGTCAGTGTGTGGGTGGGTTGATAGCCCAGTGCTATTGTAGCTATTCCGAACACCCACATACCAGTGCATTTTGGATATCTGAGATGCTTTTATGTCTCCCTCATTTCCTTACCTTACTTCCCTGGTGAGAATGAGTAGTCAGTGATTTTGCCTACAATCACCTCTCAGTATCCATGAGGAATTTAGCCACCGAAGATTCCAAGATCCATAGCTGCTTGGGTCCTTATGTAAAATGCATCGTAATTGCATAGAACCTGCCCATGTCCTTCCATATAGTGGAAATGCTACAGAAGTTGTTATTTGATGTTTAGAAAATAACAAGAAAAGGCATCTGTATCTGTTCAGTACAGATACAACTTTTTTCCAGTACTGGCCTTCACACTAGCTATATTCCCAGCCCTTTTGTATTTTTGAAACTGGGTCTCGTTAAGTTGCTAAATTGCCTGGGCTGGGTTTAAGCTTGGGATCCTCCTGCCTCAGCCTCCCAGATGGCTGGGATTACAGGTATGCCCCACCAGTCTGCCTCAGATGCAATTTTTAAAGAAATAATCTTTTTTAAAATTTATTTTTATTTTATTTCATTTTTTTTGAGACAGGGTCTCACTATGTAGCTGGGACTGACGTGGAACTCACTATGTAGCCCAGGCTGGTCTCGATCTCACAGCACAATCCTCCTGCCTCAGCCTCCCGAGTGCTGGGATTACAGGCATGCGCCACCATGCCTGGCTTTAAGAAATATTCTCAAATGCCTCAGATGTAGTTGGTTGAATCTTTGGATGTGGGACCCATGAGTACAGAGGACCCATGGTGCTATTTGAGGACAGTTTTCTGTGTACTTTCCACCTGGCACACACAGCTCAGGAACAGAGTAGGAGGAGGTGGGGGCTATACAGGAGAGTCCTCAGCTTGTAAGAGGGCCCTGGGGCAGGTCCTCTGCCCCGCCCATCTCTGACCCCAGCCCCAGAGTACAAGGCAAACTTCTGGGCTGCACCTAGACGGAGAACTTGGACTCTGCTCACACCAAGGGCTGGGAGTTTGTACAATTCACGCCTCATTGTATTCTGTACGAATCCACATGTGGACTTTTCCTTGGCCTCAAAGAGCCCAGTGCAAATCACCCCGTGTTAAATGAGATCCTCACTTTTCCCATGTACTCTTCAGCAGCAGCTCCTTGTGATTTGACTGAATACTTCACTTTCAGAAGAAGCCAATAGCAGAACACAGTTCTTTACTCTTGATGGAGGCAGTTGAGTTGACAACCCAGCCTTTGCCTTATAGTCCACAGTTCTCATCTTCAGGTGGACAGAATGCACTCATAAAATTAAAGTGATATGACTTAGTACTGCGGTGTTTCAAAACCTGTGGGGCTGGAGAGATTTTAATCACCAAGTCTTCAGCACCCACCTAAAGGGTGTGTGAGTGGTGCATGGTAGACAGCTGTAAAGTCAAAGCAACGAGCCGTGCTTGCTTTCTCTTCCTGCCTTCTCCCCAGTCCACGGAACTGTTTGGAATATTTATTGTATTACTTTCTTACTCCTAAGTATGTGTTCATGGTTCTCTCCAGATTTGTCCATTAGGTCTTGTATTTGGCTTCTGTATGGTCTGAAAATGTTAGCATACAGCACAGGTCCCTCTCCCAGCAGAGGTAAGTCACAGTTGTAGTTGAATCTGTGTTTACTACTTATGGTGTTCAGGCTATAAATATTTATTCCTAGGCATGTGAGATACTGTGGTGGCCCGAAGAAAGGCACTTAACAGGCTGTACTTCCTCACTGCTGAGATCCTCACAGGTGAGAGCATGTAATGTCTAAAGGGACATTCAGACACAGATAAAACGACATGATGTGTGCTGATGATAGTTGAAGGGTTTATTAGTCTACTTTTTTGTTGTTTTCTGAAACAGGATCTCACTATGTAGCCCAGCCTGGCCTTGAACTCTGCAGTCCTTCCTCAGCCTCCTAAGTGCTGTGATTACAGCCATGTGCCATCATGCCTATCGGTATTAGTCTACTTTTGAGTATGGAATTTTCCATGATAATAAAAATAATATCTTTAGGAAACTCTCTGTTATAAACTGTTTTAAACTGGGTGTGGTGGCGCATGCCTGTAATCCTAGCATTTAGGAGGCTGAAGCAGAAGAACTGCCACAATTTTGAAGCCAGCCTGAGCTACATAATGAGTTCAAAGCCAGCCTGAACTACATAATGAACCCTTGTCTCAAAAAAGTAAGTAAGTAAATGGGCTAGGGATTTAGCTCAGTGGTGCCACTGCCTGCCTCTCATGTGCAAGGCCCTGAGTTCAATCCCCAGTACCGCAAAATGCATAAACATACTGTTTTAGCCTTTAGATATCTGTAAGTACAGTTTCTTGGCCCTCACTTGTAGACTACATCCTGCACCAGGACATTTTACATCACAGCCCAATATGTACCCCTACATTTCATACATTCTATCATGATTCTTTAACATGATTATATCTGAAATTTGGATACTGCTTAGAAGGAATGGCATCTTAGACTCAAGTCCTTTAGAGAACATCTGACAATAACATGGGCTGCAAATCCTTTTTTTTTTGAGACAGGGTCTCACTATGTAGTTGAAACTGACCTGGAACTCACTATGTAGCCCAGGCTGATCTCGAACTCACAGCAATTCTGCCTCAGCCTCTCAGTGCTGGGATTACAGGTGTGCACCACCACGCCTGGCTAGGGCTGCAAATTCTTAGCTACTCTGCTCGTTGAAAGTGGAGTCAGTTCTCCTAAAATTTGAACAGGCTTTGAATTTGAACAGTGATTTGCTTGACAAAGAAGAATATGGTATGTTGGGATCAGTGGCATGTGCCTGTAATTCCAGCCATTCTGGAGTCAAGGATAGCCTGGCCGCTTCGCAGTACCCTGGACAGCCTGGGCAACTTAGTATTTTACCCTGTCTCAAAAAATAAAGGGCTGGAGATGTAGCTCAGTGCTAGAATGCACTAAACTAATGAAACTGATGAAGCTATGTCCTAAGACACTGTAACTTCTACCTGGACTTTGTGGAACTCTTGCTCTGAAAGGAACAGGTCACCAAGAAAGAAGTCCCATTACCCCTAGGCACTGTGCCAGAAGGAAGCCTGTGCTAACCACATGTAGACTGAAGAGGGAGTACTGCCTGGAGGCCATCCACAGCTGCTCCTGCCATCCTAGTCTAGCTGCCAGACATGTGGGTAAGGAACCTAACTTGAGTAGGCCAACCCCAGAGACATATGGAGAAAGAAAAAAGAGCAACTTCTCCCAGTCAGGACCAAGGTCCCAGCCATCACCATCCAAGGGAGCTTCCCTGATGA